TATGTGATAACGTAAGGAAGAGATTATAATCTAAGCCCTCCCATTTCTTTCTAATAATCTCTTTAAATTCATCAACAATAAGTTTTTTTTTTTCATTATTCAAATTCTAACACTTTTTTCAACTTTTTTTTTTAGTACTGCCCATAGATTCTCAATTGGATTTAGATCCAACGAGTTAGAGGGCCAGTCAATCACATTAATATGGTGGGTCTCAAGAAAATCGCATGTGATTTGAGCTATATGAACTAGAGAATTATCTTGTTGGAGACGCTACCGATAACCTATATTCGAAAGAAGGCAAGATTCAAAAATTTCACAATACTTTTTTGCATTTAAATTATTAGTAAATAGAAATAACGAAACTGGTTCCCAAGCAGTAAATGCTTTTCAAGTGTGAATTTTATACAGATGCTTTACCATACTACGGCATGTAAAGATGTGTTTCTAAATTAAAGATGAGGATATAATTCAAATGTCCCTCACTATTAAAAAAGTTTTTTTTTAAATATAAAATCAAAAAAAAACCATCTACAAAGGTTTTTTGTAATTTAGGCCACTTGATCCAAGTGTTTTTTGAATTATGTCCCTATTAAAATAATAAATAATTAATTATATCCCTTCAAAAAGAACATAATTGATCTGCAAAATTTTATATACTAAATAGTTTAAGGACCCATCCTTAACGGCATGGACGTGGATTTGTGCAGCGGTGCCAAACTAGCTGAGTATTGTAAAATATCTGAAGAGTTGTTTAAAAGATAGTGGTAGACCAACTGTCATTTGCATGATTTTGGGCCCAGACACTTGTTAATGTGAATAGGCTGGAGGAGAGGAATTCGTTGTGGCTGGCAGACAATATATTGAAGGTAACTTTTAAGAGTACACTGAATAGTATGCTCAGTTATATTTAGATCAGGATAGTTTTTATTAAGTTTAATAACTATTTCAATGGTAGTAATGAAATTACTGTTTTTTATAAGCTGATCAAGATAATAACATTTTTGAACATCTAAAACTTTTAGCCTGCCAGGAACAGGAAGTGGAGTAAGGGTGTCTCTTTTTTTAAGTCGATTCATATAATCGTATATCGTAAATCTAGAAAAACTGGTTATTTTGAAAATTTCAGCAGGTTTCGTAATACTGTTAGACCAAAGCTGGTTTACAGTTATTCTTTGTGTGGCAGGATCAGTGTTGCATAGCATTTTTGATGGATAGTGCTAATTAGACAGAAAAAAAAAATATTGTATTTATACAAACTTAGTTATATATTTACATGACACAATTACACAAAATTAGATCAAAATTTAATGAAAAAAAAAAACAATAGTAATGTGTTTTACATGACAAATCGAAAATCTGAATATTTTTGTTGTCTACTGTACATAATCAAATATGATTACTAATTAAAAAAAATTCTTTTAATTATTTAGCTTCTCCTCCTCTCGATCAATCACCTCTAAAACATGATTTTTTATACATGTTGCTAATGTAAGAAATAGGTTTTTATCTAATTCATTTCATGCCCAATGAATAATTTGCTGAAAAATATTATTCGAAAGATTTTTTTTTTATTAGACATAAGTTTGATTCTTTTTCGACCTCGCCCTTAAGTATTGCCCATAAATTCTCGATTGGATTTAGGTCAGATAAATAAGTAGACCAATCAAGAATTCAGATGCCTTGGTCTTCGAGGAGACAACACGTTTTTTTTAAATTATAAACAGAATAATTATCCTATTGAAAATAAAATCTGTGACAAGCTAATCTAGAAAATTGAGGAAAAAAAAATGGATTTTAAGAATTGCTTGGTATTTAGTAAAATTAAAATTTTCTGTAAATAAAACTAGCACGATCGAGCCTCGTGCCAAAAATCCACCTTAAGCATAAACTTTATAGGAATGTTTCACTATACTTCGAGTAGTTATGACTCTCTACAATGTTATCTTACTAACTGTGTATTTCTAAATATCAGAAAGATCGTTTCATCAAAAAAAATCATGTGGTGCCAGTCATGGTTAATATGATCTTGAGCCCATTCAATATGAGTGGCAATGTAGTGAGATTGGAGAAGAGAAACAGCAACCGGACAACAAATGACAAACTGAAAAGCTTGTTTTAATGTATGTTGAATGGTACAAACAGAAACCTTCAGGTGTGGATTTTTGAAAACAAGTCTTTCAACCATTTCAGCTGCAGTAGCAACTTTATTAATCTGTATGATCTGACCAAGATGAAGAAATTGTAGAGTGCAAGAATTGGAGGTCTTCTAGGTATAGGAAGTGGTGTAACAAAAGATTTTTTTAATTCGATTGATTATATCATATATTGTGAACTTTGGATAACCTGTTATATAAATTATTTCTACAGGTTTTCAGACATTATCTGCCCAAAGCTGACTTACGACTATTCTTTATATTTCAGGTTTCGATAAAGATAACATTTATGTTGATTTTTTAATAGCTATAAAAAAAATTTTTTTTAAATACAAGTCATGTAAACATATTCTTACTTTAATTAAAATTTATGTTATATAGGTTGTTGTTTTATAAAATGACATATAACATAACTTTAAATATGCTAGATCAAAATTCTGGACATTTATGATGCCTACTGTAAGATACATTGCTATACATGTTAGCCTACCACCTGATTAGTTATATCTCTAGAAAAAACCCTTGAGCAGGGAAAAAGAGAGGAACTATTTAATCTTGAAGGGCTAAGGCCTCCCTAATAATTTATTCTATCCTGTAGGAGCATGGATAGAGTCTCAAAGAAAAGTTTAAGTATGATATCAATTAGTTTGTGTTGATATATTTGTTTGTCATTATTTGATAAGTTGTTTGTTTGTATTTTGTTGTAAGTAGCTAGATTTTTGTTGTTGTTGTTTCTTCTGTGTTTAGTGTTTTGAGATATATCAAGGAAGCTTTTCTCTGCAATCATGTTTTTGTTTCTTGGGATCCAGATGTGTTGGGTAGATAAGTTCGAGTGTTTTGTTTTATATTTCATTGAAATTTTAAGATTATGTCATGTTGGTTGAAGATTGTTGAAAAGATTTTTGAGTTGTAATGTACCTGTTGTGAAGTTAATTATCCTTTGTTATAACAAATATTCTTGTTGAAGTATCACAAAGTCTAGGATTTCACCAATCTCTAACCTGTAATAATATATACAGTATATATTGTTTTATTTTAAACTGTTTTTTGGTTTAATTTTCTTTGTTTAATTTTAATTATTTTTTGGTTTAATTTTCTTTGTTTATTTTAAATTATTTTTTGTTTTTAATTATAAACTTATTTTAATTACTTTTTTGTTTTATTTTAAATTATTTTTTATTTTAATTACTTTATTGTTTTATTTTTAATTATAAACTTATTTTATAGTTTTATTATTATTTATCATTATTATTTTATTTTATTTTATTTTATTTTCTTTATAAATTTCGATTTTTTTTTTTATTGGATACTAAATATAAATTTCATTTTTATTAAATGCTAAACTTTATTTCTAAATATTAAACTCTGGTTTCTTTAGCAGAGATTTTTTTCCCAAAATAAAAGACATGGGGGTGTTCCCTGTATGGCATTTTACAGCATACGTGCAGCTGTATTTGCATTGTTTTTGAGTGAACTTTCCATACTGTAATAATTACAGTATATTTCCGGATTATTTTGCTGGCATATAGAATCGCAATTTCGCGAATTTTTCACATGACGATCCATAATATAGTCATGTGCAATCAATAACTTACATTTTTTTTGCATTTATGCAGGATTTCCCGTGATCCGGAAATTTCACTCGAAAACAATGCACGTATACTGTATGAGAACACACTCCATGTCTTTTATTTTGGAAAAAAAATCTCTGCTGGTTTCTTTATTAAATGCTAAATTGTAACTTTCGATTTTCCGATCACTTAAATATAATATTATACTACGGAAATTTCACTACAAATTTGTCTGCACAAGTACTGCAATAATGCCATAGGGGTGTTGCATACATGAGCCATGTCATTTACTGTATTTCGGGAAAAAAATCTCTGCTAGCATAATCACCATCATTATAAGCAGAGATTTTTTTCTCAAAATAAAAGATATGGGAGATGTTCTCATTACCTCATGTATACAAAACCCTTAGGGTATTTCAACTTTGCAGCACTGTAGTGAAATTCCGTACTACAGTATTATTACTAGAAGATAAGGCACGCTATTATGCCCATGCTTTATATTAAGATTTATAATAAATTATTTGTCATCTACTTCTCTTCGTTATCGTTTTATGAGGTGACATGTTACACGTGTCATAAAAAAATAAAGGTTTTTAAGTTAAGAATATTACTGACGAAATGAACGTAATACACATAGTTTATAGTTTAATAAGCTTATGTCAAAGAAATTAAGAGTGAATTTGAAAGCTGAGAAATATTAACGCGACATTGAATATGCTTACTGCTTTAGAGTTCGCGTGATCACGAGAAAAACTAAAATGAAACACAATGAAGAAACACAATGAAAATAGAATACAAAAGGACTTATCACACAAATATTTTAACACATAAGAATAGCACGCTTGCTACTTTATTTGGCAAAGAAAGCTATGTTTTTCATTATCCCTTTATCCCCATTGTTTGATTATCATTCCCATTCCAATTATCCCATTATCTCACTTATTCTCCTCACAATGCACAGTATGGCATCCCGTGAATTACTATCCCTGTTCTCCTATAACTATAATCACGCTAATATTTGTGAATTTCTATTAGAAAATATGTTCGGCATAAGAAAGAAATTTTAATTGGAAACGTTAATATTGTAATATTATTTTACATTTTCAGTTGATATAAAATGATCGTAAAATTTGTTGCGTAGTTCCTACTTTTAATAATTTCCACCAAGAACTAAAAGCATTCTTGCAAGAAAAAAAATCATTTCCGCGAAACGAAAAATTGTAATATACACTGATTTTCCTGGTCATAGTTTCTGATAACTTTAATAATACACGTTATGAATCGAAGAACACTAGTACTTTCTTGCTTCTTATTGATACTATTAACGTCGCTTTGTATAAGCTTTTTGGTTAAAATTGTTCCTGAACTATTATTATCAAATTTGAACGTACAAAGATCTGGTTCTTCGAACACGACTTCAAACGAACATGGCTCCAATTCTTCGAACATGACTTCAAATGAACATGACTCTAATTCTTCGAACATGACTTCAAATGAACATGGCTCTAATTCTTCGAACACGATTTCAAACACAGCCCCCAAAAATTATAACAAAACTCTTGGCTTCGAACACATTTATGTTATTAACCTTGCTCATCGACGAGACAGACATTTCAAGATGGGGGGCATAGAGGATATTCTTGAATTGAATTTCGAATTTTTTCCGGCCGTTAGCATTAATGACAGCGAGATTCTCGATAAATATGATTTCGATATTGCACCCAACCATAAATCATGCTACGTTAGTCATTATAGAGTTTACGAATCGATTGTCCGTAACGGATACAATAGCAGCTTGATTCTGGAAGATGACATTGACGTTGAAATGAACATCTTATCAATCATGACTGACGTTCACCGCATTCTACCCACTGATTGGGAAATGCTATACATTGGACATTGCTCTTGGGAAAAAGACGGAAAATTTATAGGTGATGCCAGGAGTTTTCAACTGTATGAATCCACATATCCGGTTTGCACACATGCTTACGCAGTTTCTCTCTCCGGCGCTAAAAAGTTATTAAATGGGCTTCTTAATCCATCGTTACCAGTTGATTTGGAAATAGGTGAAAAAATTAAGCAAGGAAATATCAAATCATATAGTCTTGAACCATCGGCCATCGTTCAATGGAAATCGAAGGATAATCCTTCCGACGTTTCTCCTGGAGCCAAACAATGGACCTATCCTCTAAAGAAATCCACCCTGCATTACTTTGGGTTTCATGAAATTAATGATCAAGATTAACACTTTCGTCATAAAAAGTTCCCGAGCATTCGTGATAGTAAGGTTCATTGTAATAATAATACAAAGAGGCCTCCCTAAATGCACCCTCTATAAATGCACTCACTATGTTTTCTCTCTCTAAATGCACGGTCAAGTTTGGTCCCATGTACAGACGGGTGACAGAAAATTAGGACGCCTATCAATTTTTATATAATAAAATATGATAAAAATTGAAATTTTCGTGCCATATAAAAGTTTATAATTTTTTTATAATAACAATCTTTTATTTTATATGATTATGTAAGGCATCAATTGTACTTCTTGAAAAAAGGCTTTTACTTTCTAAAAACTTTTCCTATAGAAATCGACCCAGTCACTAAAACGTAATTTTATGATTTTTATGATTTTTATATACAGTATAAAATACTTAGGGAAAAATTCTTGGCTTTTTTTCTCAATTATAATAGTTTCTGTAACAGAATTTTAAATATACAGTATATATATATATATTCAAGATATGTAATTGATTAATTCAATGTTGGTGTGAAATAAAAAATCATTTATTAGAAAAAATGGTAGCTTTCATATAGCACAGAAACTTCAATTTTTATTATGCTTTACTATAAAAAATTGATTGACATCCTAATTTTCTGTCAACCGTCTGTACATAGAACTCTTAATAAAATTACCTCTATAACTGCACATTTTTCAAAAATTTTCCTATGGTCCCAAGGGGGTGTGCATTTAGAGAGGGTTCACTGTATATCATTTATCATATTTTTATTCGTGCATTTATTTGTTCCATTTACATATAAACTTCGAATTATAATAAACTAGATAATGGAATGACTGATTAAGTTTTATTTAAACTAATTGTTAGCTATTTTAAAGACCGAAACAAGCAGAGTTTTAGTTGCTATTTTCGGCCGCAGGGGGGGTGTTCTTTATGCACTACAGTACTCGTGCGGCATTCTTACGTCACTTGTGCAGGTGCGCTTACAACGATTTCAAGTGAAATTTCCGAATTATGGAAATCCCTTACATTAATACATGTCAACTCTCGATAAGCCAAACTTTTTTTTTAATGTAACATTTACTATAATAAGTAAAATTACCATCTGAAATAATTAAATTGATCAACAGGTAATAACGATACTTGTGGTTAAGTACTTCTACATATGGGTATATAAAAAGTTCGGCTTATAAAGAGTTTATAATTACCTGTTGATTTACCGAATGATCGGAAATAAATTAAACGAATGTTTATTGATTCAGTCCTAGTTAAAGATTATAATTCAGATAATTAAGATACTGTATATTTGATATGAATTTGTTGAAGTCTATAATCGTAGTTAAAGAAAATCTACTCAATACTGTAAATATTAATGAAAATGTGCTTCCTAAAAATAATGTATAACGAAAGTAAAGAATATAACTCAGTTCAATTAAGATACTTTTAATATAAATCAATTAATAGATATTACCAAAAGTATTTTTACTGTTTGTAATTGTTAAAGCAAATATACAGTAATTCGATAATTAATACCATTAATAGTGTAAAAGAGTAAATTGAGACGCGCTGTGTATCACGTGACTGATCGTCGCGAACAGTACGCGAGGAAACCGGTTCTTGGTTGGCGGTGCACGATTATCTAATGCAGGGAAAAGAAAGAAGGGATTGTGAAAAAGGAACTTATATAATATAGACTAAGCTTAATCATTGTTCTTAAAGTATAGCCACACTAGCCTCTGTAAATAAAAGAGATGTATAAAAAGAAAGAGACAAGTATTAATAAAGGATAACAATACCCGTTATAACATTAAATTACTCGACCAAATCAAAACACGCCTCCTTAACCTTAAGTATTACTCACCCTATCCGCGGTTACGCGAAATCTTGTCCTCCTGAGCGACTGACTCGCCGTTACACCCCACAATAGGAATTACTAAACAAATATTCAACTAAAAATGCTTACCATCTGCAATAATTATTAAAGAATATAATTCAGTTCGATCAAGACACCTTAAATATGAATTGCTCGACAAATATTAGTGAAAATATTTTTACCGTGTGTAATCGTTTTTAAAGTAAAAAATATAACTCCAATTAATTAAGACACCTTGATATTAATTATTCAACAAATGTTAATAAAAATATTCTTACTTTTTGTATCGCTTTTAAATTAACATCTATAATAAACAAACATTAATGAAAATATGCATACCACCTGTAATTATTTTGAAAGTAAATAATATAGCATCAATCAATTGATATTAATTATTCTCACCGTTTGTATCGCTTTTAAAGTAAAGAATATAACTCAGTATAATTAACATCTACAGTATAATCAACAAATATTAATGAAAATACGCTTACCGCCTGTAATTATTTTGAAAGTAAATAATATAGCACCAACCAATTGATATAAGCTATTCAACAAATATTAGAAAAAATATTCATACTGTCTGCAATCGTTTTAAAGTAAAAAATACAACCCGATCGATTAAAACACATGTGATATGAATTATTTAACAATACTAATGAAAATATACTTATCGTTGTTAAAAATATCTCTCAGCTCAATTAAGACACCTTTAATATGCATTACTCTACGATTATTAGCGAATCTATTTTTACCACTATAATTGTTGTTAAAGTAAGAATATAGCTTTGATCAATTAAAACACTTTTTATATGAATTACTCAACAAATATTGATGGAATGTGCTTACCATATACTGTACAGCATAATCATTGTCAAAATAAAGAATATAGCTCCGATGATTAAGACACTTATAATATAAATTGTTCAATAAGTATTAATAAATTTTTCTATTCGCTAAAATAAAAAATATATTTCTGATTAATTAAGATACCTTCGAAAAGAATAATCACCAAATATTTTAAAAATTATAATTATATATGGAATTCAAATTCCTTGATTATGTGTTTAGAGAGTAGAATAATTCTTTAACTACAACAATTTCGGTTTCTTGTCTGCATTTTTGTCTCAATTTAATAAAATTGTCATATCTCTAATCAATGAAATATAAATAGACAATTATTATTCATAAACAAGCCTTTATATCAATATACAATTTGTAATAATAAAAATCACACCAAATAATATAATTTATACATCATTTAAAAATCCATAAGTATCAAAATTGACTAATATAATTTAATAATTAATTCTTTCCCCCTTACTTTCAATAACTGATTTATAATGCTATTGCATTGAATTTTTTAAGTTAATTAGAACTGAATTTGGAATCAAATCCCACTTTTCCACCATAAACTATTTCAATTCATTCAAATTTACAAATTCCACTTCTTTACTTTACACTTAATAGTGTTCCATAGATTTTCAATAAGATTGAAGTCCAAATTGCATGATGGTTAGTTGATAAGCTCAAATACATTTTTAGCAAGAAATTATCTAACCACCTGATTAATATGCTTGGAATCATTATCATGCTGAAACTGTCACTTCTTTCCAAGCATATTATTAATTTTCTCAATATTATTTTCAAGTATTTCAACATAATACAAACTATTTATTATGCATTAAAAATAGAACAAATTTGTCTTACTCTTTATAAAAAACCCCAAGCAAAAATTTTCCTATAATCTTTTGAAATAAAAAAAATTAAATATTCATTCTTATACCAATATTCAACCATATTCTTAAACAACTGGAATACAGTTTTATTACTAAATAAGATTTTATTTCAATTGTTATTGATATGCTTCTTGACCTATTTAACATAATTCTGTTTTTTTTTGTTAACATTGATATGACTCTAGTAAAATCTTTTTTATATCCTATTAACTTCAAATACCTTTCAATAATATATTATAAAACATATATATTCTTTTTAAAATAATTTATTTATAATGACTTATAAAAATAAATTATTGTTTCAACAAATATATTATTTTATAATTTGAGTATCTTTAATAATAATTTTTTTAATATAGCTATTATTGTTTCTATATTTTATTATACTAATCTCTTCTAATTTTTTAATATTGTATTAAACAGTTAAAACAAACAGATTAATAAGTTAATTTAAATTTTGATATCAAACATATATCCAAATTTCAATAAAATAATAGGATTTGTTTTTTAAATTTTTTAATTAACAAATATATTTTAAGAATAAATAATACAAAATACAAATAAATAAATAAATTATTTAAAATATAATATAAATACTATAATATAGTAATTATTAATTTTCAAATTTGTACAAATTGTGTCAAAAATAACAAGATTATATATACTGTATATAATGATATTATTTAAATTATTTTTATAATATTGTATTTTTTTCATATTGTTGTGGGAACAATCGGGATAGGAACACGATATTGTGATGCATCGCGCAACAATAAGTATTGGTGATGGTAGAATGATGTAATAATTGGTAATAGCAGGTACTAGGTAAACACACATCAGGAAGGCATATAAATAGGTAGTTTATGTAGTTTGGAAGGGGGAAGTTCGAATTTCGCGATTTTGGGAGTTTCGTTTTCAGAACGCTTCTTTGTTTTTGCACACTCACGTTTTAATAAAATACATGCTATCTCGCTTTGCACAATAAAC